AGCGCTGGCTCTTCGGCTTTGAAACGGAGATGAGCACCGCAACCCTAGAGTCAGATTTGACTGGCTTTCGAGCAAGGGAACCTTTACCTTTTATGTAGTGTTTATTGGTAGCAATATATAGGAAAAAAACTGTAAGTCTTGTTGACTACCTTGATTTGTGGGGGTCAGACTCTCACGACTGTTTTCTCAGTACCTGTTTCTAGACAAGGTGGTGACTGTCCACATTTGTCTTAGAAACAGAATGGAATGTTTAGCCTTCCAAACCAAGACCATCTGATGGCCACTTAGCTGAGATAATTTTTAAAAGTGTTAGACCAGGGGTGGCCAAACTTGCTTAATGTAACAGCCACACAGAATAAATGTCAGATGTGTGAGAGCCACAAGACATGAACAAATATTACACACATGTTTTTATTGAAAAATATGCAAATTTGCTTTTTAACTTAGACTGTGTGAAAGAGCCACATGCGGCTCCCAAACTGCAGTTTGGCCAGCCCTATGTTAGACAGATCCATAAAGGAGAGGTCCATCAAGGGCTATCAGGTATGAATAACCCAGTGAAGCCTCTCTATATGGAGGCAGTAGATCTCCAAGTACCAAAGTGTGGGGGCAACCGCTAGGGTTGCAATCTGCCAGTGGCATCTTGGCTGCCTGCCTCTGGAAACTCACTAACCAGAATCCCTGCAAGAACACATTTTATAATAAATATGTGCAAATGTGCTTATATCGTAACTTCTTGTAAGTTAAGCTTACAGGCTCATATTGCAGCAAAACACACATGCTGGTGGCATGGTTAAAAGCACAAGCTGCAAGCAGTTCAAACATGAAATCATTGGACAGGTAAACCTCAACCTCCTAGGTGTAATGACAAACTTGACAGAGAAGCTGTGAGAATTTATACAAAATAGTTTGAACACTGAAAGTGCTGTACTGAAATGCTGTACTGTAATTTTGCATAATGGATCAAGATTTAGTGGGTTTCTTCTGTCTGATCTGACCCAAAGATATGCTGCCATGATAGAGGGAACGTGGGCGAGAGAGCCATTCACAAAGGGTTGTTCCGCACCTGGTTTTTGCTCCAGCTAGGCTTAACTGCCCGCCCCCCTACACACAAACTCCCTGAGTTTTTTCATATCACTGCAAAACTGGTCTGAAAAAACACAGGTAAAGCTTGAAGAAAAACTAGGCAAATTACACTGGATAAAAGAGGGGGGGAACTGATGCAAGCTGGAAGAAGCCAAGCTGGAGCAAAGATCTGGTATGGATTAACTCAAGGCAAAAAGTGGCATCCTTTGCAAAGTTCTGTAATGAAACAAAGAGAATATATATTATACTGAGCAAGACCCATGGTCTGTCTACGTCAGTATAGTTGACTGACAATGGATCTCTAGGATCCTTCCTGCCATCTGGTACCTGAAATCCTGAACATAGGAAGTCCGCTTCTTATGCAATGCATATGGCTCGGCCACTGAGCCAGGGCAAGCAGAGCAAATTTTTTAAATCACAGAAGCTGACTTTTTCCCTTTGATTCCTGTTGCAAGGTTCATTGTTGGTATTCTAAGACAAAACCATTCATGATGTATATTTAAAATGTATTTAATTCCCCTCCACACTTTTGCAACTTTCAGTAAACAAGACACCTTCGACTTGAAACTATCAAGACCTTACTTGTACATGCTTAGATCACTGGGTGCACCATACTGGATTCTCAGATTTTTAATTTTCTAGTCCTCATTATATCCTTGTACACTCACCAGTCGATCTAGGCTTGTGCCGGCTGCTGTTGTCGGTCGCTCCTCTGGGTTGTAGGGTCTGAAACGAGCACTGAAGCTACTTTCTGAGATAGAACGAGATGCCCGACTTTGTACGAGCATTTTGGGCTGCCCGCATCCTTGGAAAACCTAGGTTGATGGGATGCAGCAGTTTTAGAAAACAAATTTTGGACCGCACAATTTATATTAATTTCACAGCCCATTTTCACATGCTGAAGAGGAATTATGTTATCAGACCATCTGAAAGCATCAGCTCCCAAACTCTACTTTTGGGGCTGTGTCAAATGTGTGTGACTCTCACCAGATTCCCCCAAAACACCTGACGAAATATGACAACTGTGTTATAACCTGTCAGTTCTCTTTCTCACTACCCACAAGTGGTCAGTTCCAGGACTTGGCCCACAGAAAGCAGAATTTATTCCCAGAATCCCTAGAGTATTTTGCATTCAAAGGTGCTGGCATCAAATGGTTTGGTGCCCTGGCAACCAAGTGCTGGGGATACATTTTCTAGCTCTGAATATTCCTGCAGAGAATCTGACCACTCTCTGGACAACCTGCGTTGTCTTCAGTTCTTTGTCCAACACTCCCTCGCCGTACCTTCTGAGACACCTGCATGCTGTTTTCTTGCATATTCATGATAGCATCAGAGATCTTCACATCAATTGGGTCCATGACTGACTCTATGTTGAAGGGACCCTCCAACCTCTCAGTCAACATCAGCATGGAGTCTACACAGAAAATGAGAGGAAGAGGGTTAGTGCTTAAACTCAAATGAGGTAAACAGCACATGCTCAAATGAGTGTCAACAGTTCTGTCCCTATTTTTTTTCAATCAAGTCTTCTTTGCAGTCTTTGTATCCCTGCTCTATTCAAACACAAGGAGTCCATCAGCATGCCTTTCAAATGCCTGCCCAGCCAGGATGGACTTTCATTCTCTAATATTGTTATAAAGTCACTTCCTTGCCCAGCTATATGTTTTCTGAAGAGTTTAGGGGGCAAAGACGGCAGGTGTGGCCTTCCTCCACCCTATTCCCCCATCCTTCTACCCAACTTCTTGTACTGTCTGGTGAGGAGTAGTGTCAAAAGGTTCAGATAAATCAATAGGTCATCCATTCTCCTGGTTCTATTGTCTATGAAAAGGAGCTAAGCCCACTATATTATACATAGCTCAAACTGAAAGAAACATAATGTGAGTTATCAAACAACGTTTTTCTCCAACATCATTCCATGTGAGTTGGGTCTGCTGCCTACCCTCTCCAACAGAAAAACCTCTCTCAACGGGCATGGAGAAGTCTCCGTACCTTCTCACTCCTGTCATTTCCAGTCTCTGCCTCCCTTTTGCTACAGTCCTAACAAAGCTGTTGCCAGTGAGCTAGGAGTTTTGCAATCATGCAAACAGGTGTTGGTAGAAGGAGGCTACTGACATCACTGAAGAACTTAAGCACCTGCTTTCTCTGTCCACTGTGTTGTGCTTTTCCACACTGCAGGGAGTAGGCCTGCCAAATCGGTACAACCCCCCGCCGCGACTTGGCAACCCTAGCAGGGAGGGAACAGGCATGTGGGAAGGTCACTGCTTCCAACACTTTCCTCTAGCTGTACAGCAGTGCCTCCTTTGCCCACGCTGATAAATTAGATTAGGAAGAGAAAGCTCATTGCTTAGAGAGATATCCTGTGACTCCAGAAGCCAAAGGAAAAGGCTGGGCTGCTGCTTCTGACACAGCATTCTGTCTTACCACCCACACTTCCACCCACCTCCGTGGGTGTCCTGGCCTGTTCCTGTTATTCTACATTTCCCTCCCTTCCTGAATTCTAAGCCTGGGGAAAAGATTCCAGACTCTTCAAACTGCACCCTTCCCTGAAATTTTACAATCAGAACCAATTATCTAAAATAAATAAGACCACCTGCCTTGTACACACCATTTATCCATTCTATGTTTCCATTTTTCTTGTTTTTTTTTTTTTTAACCAGCAGAATGCACAAACACCTTTTCTAACCTCTCACTCTCTGTGGCCAGATTTGTGGCCTGTCCTAGAAGGCTCAGGCCAGGTATCATCCAGAAACTACCCTCCAGCCTTTTAAAGTGTTAAGCAAGTCCTCTCGGGCTTTGTGTAAGGCTGGCAATTAGAAGCCCTCCCCCTCTCCTTGATGATTATGAAAAACAGACAACTGCATGAGAGGAGGCCACTCCTTTGAGATTGCCCAGCAAGCTACAAACCCTATTGAAAGCTAGAGGAAGAAGCCACTGAGTGCAAA